GTGTCGTTCAATTGCGCATTTTCTTGCGAACATTTTGGCATATAATCTGCCAATACTTGCTTCATGATGGACTGTTTTGGGTACAACATAGATTCTTACTCATCACAAATAGCGCGTAAGGAAAAATGCTACTGAAGCGGCCTGTAAGGGAAAATGCTACTGAAGCGCCCCGTAAAAGAAAATGCTAATAAAGCGGACCGAAAGGGAAAATGCTACTGAAGCGGCGCGCAAGATTCATGAAGTTTCTTGTGCACGGCCCAAGCGAGACTGATCCTCCAGACTGTTTTCTCCAGCTTTGAACTTTGCGAATCATCTCCTAGCCGTCCTTTCTGCAACCGTAACATAGCCCAAAACTCCGTTCATCTTGCGTCCCGCTTCACTAGTATGTTCCCCTCTGTGCCATTCGTGGATGAATAGCAAGCGAATTTGTTTTCACGACAGTTCCGCCTTAAGCAAGTATAGGCAAGTTGTACATGAAATTGTTCGAGAGAAAAAGCGCAACTGAACGACACTAAAATCACGCAGTCTCAAATACTTTTGGACTTGGGGTTTATTGTTCTGGTGTCAAAATTTATGGAATAACCTAATACTACGTCACAGATCGATTTGTGGATCTGAGGCAGGCACATACTAGACCCCCATAGGACTCGCTGCGTCTGAGCTACATAAGTTTGGTGGACTATCACCTGTATCACCCCTGTCGCCCCGTTGCTCGTCGAGTGACTCGAGCGGGTACCAGCAACACTTCCATTATTCCCTATAGCGTGCAAGGGTAGCCCAGTGGGTCCTCCTCGCTCTAGGGATTCGCTGAGCATCATATCTTTCTTCTATAGCCTTCGTGAAGAAATCGGATCAACGTGTCGGTGGTCTCCCTTTAGAGCGCTTGACGTTTCGAGGAATCCAGGTCATTGTCGGAGATTTTAATGCAAATATTGGACCTAGAAGAACGTCTGAAGAACGTCACATTGATAGACAATGAAACAACAAAATGGTCAGTAGCTAAACTTAATAGAAGCTGATTAAAATGCGACTGAACATTCACTAAGTTTAATCTGCCTTGGTTATGAGAGTGTTCGACTAAATAGCTCGCAGACAAACCTAGTACCACTTTGCCAACCCCGGAGGGCTGGAAGACTTGGCGAACCTCGGGCGCGGCGGGATCGAACCACTGACCACATCTGTATCGCAGGGCACCTCTATACTGCGTCACATGCGCTCAGCCGTAATAGTAAAGGTTTTTAGAAGCCTTCTACAAGCTCATACCTGAGAAAAAGCACGCAAACTCTAGAGAAACCAAAAATTTAATGGGGGAAATCTCTACAGACGGAAAGCTCTAAGAACTCGCCTGATGGCCATCCTGTCCTCGAATTACAGGAATTTTTCGACGCGAGGGGCAAAACCTCCGAGAAGATAGTCACTTTTGAATAAACGGATCTACCCCCATGAAAAGTCGCCACTTTGAATAACGGCAACGAAAGAAACAACAAGGGAGACCAATAACTCTGTAGCGCACGAAAGGTTGGGGTGGCTGATTAAAACTGACTCGGCCATGATTCCTGTGCCCTCTATTTTCAGCGTTTCAATACGGTGGTATTTGTCTAAGGACCCGCTCATAAATTTCGCGATCCGGTCCTTGAAGTACCGGCCTTTCGGCTTCGCGGGACCGAAACATAGACTACGTTTGTGCCGCAGGACACCTCTTCGTTGCGCCATGTAAGCCCAGCTCTACAGTAGAGGTTCATGAGATCCTCCTGTTAGCTCATGGACAATAAAAAACAAGCAAAATCCAGGGAAATCGAGAATGCGATGGATAAAAGATCTAGGAAACGAACGATGTAAGAACTCGCCTGATGGCCGTCCTATCCTCGAATTACAGGAATTTTTTCGACGCAAGAGGCAAAATCTCGGAGAAGACGGTCACTTTGGGATATAAAATTCTACCTTCATGAAAAGGCGTCCATTTGAATAAGGTTGGGGTGGTACGTTAATACTAAAGAGTCGGCTAGGAGAGGTCGCGCCCTCTAATTTTAGCGGTTGAATACAGTAGTTTTCGTCTAAGGACCGCCTCAAATATTTCGCGATCCGGTCCTTGAAATTGCGGTCTTTGCGCTCCGCGGGACCGAACCAACGGCTACATTTGCGCCGCAGGACAACTCTGCGATGGGCCATGTACGCCCAGCCCTACAGTAGAGGTTCATGAGATCCTCCAGTTAGCTCATGGACAAAAAAAACACGCAAAATCCAGGGAAATCGAGGATCTCGTGGGTAAAAGATGTACGAACCAAACGATGCAAGAACTCGCCTGATGGCCGTCCTATCCTCGAATTACAGGAATTTTTCGACGCGAGAGGCAAAATCTCGGAGAAGACGGTCACTTTGGGATATACGGTCCTACCCCTAGCAAGTGCCGTCTCCTTCAGCAATGGTGACGAAAGAAACATCCCAGCCGACAGAGCTCCCAAAAAATGGCACGGACTTTCGCAATGGATACGGTGGTTTTCGTTCAAAGACCGTGCGGAGCGCTTTGCGCCTCGGCCCTTTAAATGGCGCCTCAGCTGCCATTTGAAACCCTTGGAAGGTCGATGCTCATCTATGGGGTCCTTTTCATTTCAAGGCTGGCTCTCCTTTAACCTTATCATCACTGTTCACTTATATTCCCGTTAATCCTCGATAGTGTAGTGGTTAGTGCGCTTCTGGAAAGCGTGAGACGCGAGTTCAATTCCTGCCTCTCGAGTTTTGTATCGGATGATCAAAAAACCCTTATCTTATTGTTTATTTTTTACTGTAAATTGCAATCGATTGCATTATTTATTCGTCCAAATAATATGTTGACCACTTATCTCACATTATATTCACTAACTATATGTAGCAGTGTAAGCTTAGTTTATCCTTTCCAAGACCAGTCTCATTTACTAGGCTTAGTGAACAAAGAAAAGTCTATCTGTCTTCACGTATTGTTCGACTCTCATCGTTATCCTATTCTGTTATCTGTAAAACCCGTTCGGTACCGTGGACCCACCTCCTCTGCGTCTCTGACGCCCAGCGTGCCGACGCTGAACGGTCTGCTCGACCTCTTCTGCGTCTCTAACCCCCAGTGTGAGAACGCATTGAATATATTATTGTACTGTGGTACATTTTGCTTATCCGGGGACAAATGAATATCTGACTTCATTCGTTGAGTAGGAAATTTTCATATGAGTGTTGATAATCATTGGAAAGCTGAGAATTCTGACTACAGCCTCACGTCGCCGGTTTTTCAAAGACCCTTTTATAAAGCTGTAAAATTCAAGATGAATCGATGACTCAGACGCGCATATTTCTCGCTAGGCGGAGCTCTTTTTTTAACTGTTAGTAATTATTCGATACCGCAATGTTTACTGATTCCAACGCTATGCTTATATCCTGAGAAGACCGTTTCTCTGCAACGCAGCAGGGAAAATAAGATTGGTTCACATGCGCGAGCAAGGTGGTCCTTGGCTGATTCACGTGCGACTGGCTAAGGCGGCCACGTGCGCTGGTGCGATGTGGTAAGATCGGTGCAAGGTCTACTGGCTTTGGCGCACGTGGCTGCCCCAGCCAACCGCACGTGAATTGGCCAAAGACCGCCTTGATTGCAGATGGAAGTTCAATTTATCTTACCTGCTGCGTTGCAGAGAAACGGTCTTTTCAGGATGTTAGCATAGCCTTGGAATCAGTGAACATTGCGCTATCGAATGACCATCAGTAGTCTAAAGAAAGAGCTCTTTCCGGCAAGAAATATTCGTGTCTGTACGAGAGAAATTTTTTTCTGTAACAGCTTCAAAAAAGACTATTTTAAAATTGGGCGACGTGGGGTTCTAGCAGGAATCTAAGCTTTCGAATGATCACCATCACTCCTAGAAAGTTCCTGTCTAGCGGATAAAATCGGCTTTTCATTCGTCCCTGATAGCCAAAAAGTACCTTTGTCATTTCAGTTGCATTATTGTTCTTATTTTCCTACTCATAAAAGCAACATATATATATATATATATATATATATTTATGTATATATTTACGGAGCGCATTTGGCGCAGTGGTTAGAGGTGCCCTGCGTCGCACACGAGCTCAATGGTTTGATCTCGCGCTCATGGCTCACGAAGCCATCCATCCCTCTGGGTCGGTAAATTGGTACTAGACAGGTCTCAGACTTGTCTGGGAGGATAAGCAGCACTGACTCGGTTCAGCGGGAGGCCACCGCGAGTCATTGTAAAGGCCATATATGCATTCAATCACCTTAAACGAGTTAAAAATTGAAGTCGAATGCATGGCGCATCCCTCAGGGATTGATCAACGCCGAGGGCTTTATCCTTTTATATATACATATATATATATATATATATATGACATATATATGTATATATACATATGATATATACATATATATATGTATATATATACATATGTATATATGGACATGTATGCACATATATATACATATATGCATATATACATATAACATAACAGAGGAAATAATAACAATGACACAATTATACATTCAGTGCGTTGCCACGCTTTGGGTTAGAGATGCAGTAAAAGTGGGTGCACGGTCACGAAAGTGTTGTTCCTTTCTACAACAGTTCTACAGCGTCGAAGTTATCACGTTTATTTTTCTCGGGATAATGTGAGAAGAAAAAAGGGAAAAGAAAGAAGAAAGGAGAGGCACTAGTATTCTGATTGGATAGCCTCAGGTCATCTGTGTTCATCACCCGGACTTGTGCCGCCAGATCAGTCCCAGGTAGAAGTGTGATTGCTGATAGCAGTGGTAGACTAAGAATGTTGAGTGGTATGCAAAACATCTGACCTAGGCGGGATTTAAACCCAAGATTCAGCCATACCGAGAGCGCGTACTCCACTGCACCACGGTAATCTTTCATATAAACTGGTTTTGATACCGATATGTACTTAAAGGAGCAAAATCGTTGAAGATGTGTTACGAGCAGCTACGAAAGTTTATATCGAAGAAGCGGTGGTAGCAGAGCGGCGACTTCGATGGTGTAGTGGGCGCACGCGAACCCTCAGCATGGGTGGAACGCAGGTTCAACTCCTGCTCAGGATCGAGTGTTCTGTACAACACTTTAAAATGTTTATTAATGACATCACACTGCTGGAAGCGCTAGAGTTAAAATTCGACTAACGACAGGGTTAAAATATGGTTGAGAGGGGGCCACAGCAAGAGTCTGGGTTGGTGTAAATGGATAGTTTCTGAGCTTTTGGAAAGGATAACTGCAGATTCGAAGCCCATCGCAGGATTCGTTTTGCTCGTGTTCCAGAATTAACGTATTTGTTTTGCTACTCATTACTGGGAATCGGCTCTACTCGTGTATTGACCGACCATATCAATAATGTTGAGTTATATGCATAGCTTTGAGCTCTCTGGCAAGAGTTGAACCCACGTCTCACCTTTCCCGTGGGCGCTTGCTTACCACTGAACTATCGGGGATCCTGTTCTGCTGTGAATCTTTTTGCAATGCACGATAAAGTACTTGTTTGGATACCTGGACGGCCCCTCGTAACTGATATTGCAGGCCGCGGCACAGGGAAACTACGCTAGTTCACCCACTGATATAGAGTGATGTGCAGAACTTTTCGCGTCAGCGGGACTCGAACTCGCATCTCACTCTAACTAGGAGCGCGTGCTCTAACCCGTTAAACTACTGACGCCCGTTTGCCATCACTCTATGCTTGCTAGGTGTTTTGTCCTCAAGAGTTTTGAGATAGGCCCAGCCCTAGGGATTTCCTTAGGTCCTCACCTCATTAGAGCGGTAGTTGACCCTTGTGGATCAGAAGGAGGTTACCACCCAACGACTAGTAGCTACCAAGACGACAGTCATTCCTGGGATGGTTTACTCTTAGCCGGCTTTCCGGTGGAAACGTCAGGCTCCTTCTTAGCTTGGGTGGCCCTGCTGAAGGGTTGTATTCCCGCTGTACTTCAGAGTCTGAAGCCACGAGCACCTCCATCCACGATAAGGCATAAACCATGTGGGAGGCATAATAAAATGTTTAGAGCGATGTTGATGATCTATTGTTCAATAGTTTTGATCTATTGTGATCTACTCAAAGCCTCACACAACTGTTGCAATAATTTCAGTGATGGCAGATGAAGCTGAAGCTAGGAAGCTGTCTGCTGCAGAGCGACGTGAACGTCGATTGAAGCGTATACTTGGTAATAGTGAAGAAAGGATGAAGAGAATTTTGTCAGGTCCAGACGGAGGTATTTTGCCATTTTGATCTCCAGGAGTTCTTTTTTTCATCATTCCATTATACGAAGTGTTCTGCCTAGAATTCCGATTATTGTACCCAAATCGTTGAAGTGTTACGATTGTTATTAGTGTTACGAACGAGCGAAGCGCATGTTCAACTCTTGTTCGATGTTGAGAGTTTTGTATACCACTCAAAAATCTGGATATATAGTTTTTTAATAGGTTTTCTGAAGGCTATCCTCTTGTCTCTTCAACTTCATCGATCCATACAACCCTACTAACGAATTCCATGATGGTAGGAATTGGTTCACGGGGGTATACGACGCAGTGGTCTGAGGTGCTCTGTGTCGCACACAAGGTCGATGGTTCGATCTCGCGCTCATGGTTCACCAAGCCATCCCTCCCTCCGGGGTCAGTAAATTGGTACCGAACCAGTCGCAGACTTGTCTGCGAGGATGAGCTGCAACAGGAGACTACCCGAAGCTACCATTATAAGGCCAGATATGCATTCAATCACCTCAAATAAGCCTAAAAAGTTGACGAATGCATTGGGCGTCCCTAAGGGACTGGTCAATGCATTCGTCAACTTTTTAGGTTTATCAGAGGTGATTTACTACATACCTGGCTTTTATAATGACTCGCGGTAGCCTCCTGTTGCTGATCATCCTCGCAGACAAGTCTGCGACTAATTCCATATGTATATCGACACTTTAAATTGACTATTCTGAGATTTCGCTTAGAATTGGCACCTCCGGACAGTTTATTTTGAGCCTTTCATGAGGTCTATCACGGCACTTATAAGGTGCTAAACACGTGTTTTCGGCCTTTTGGGAATGACCGAACCGAAGTGCATCGTGCTAGTGATGAGGCTGAAACGCCGCAACGCGTGTCTAGCACTTTATAAGTGCCGTAATAGACCTCATGAAAGGCTTAAACTGTCAGGATGTACTAAATGTAAGCGAGATCTCAAATAATCAATTGAAAGTGCCGATATATATATGGAGTTAGTCGCACACTTGTCTGCGGAAATGATCAGCAACAGGAGGCTACCGCGAGTCGTTATAAAGGCCGGGTATGTATTCAGTCACCTCAAGTAAGCCTGAAAAGTTGGCGAGTCATGGAGCATCCTAAGGGATTGATCAACGCCGAGAGCTTTATCCTTTTTAGCTCTATATGTATACCAACACTTTCAATTGACTATTTTGAGATCGCGCTAAGATCTAGTAAATCCTGACAGTTCATTTCAAGCCTTTCATAAGGTCTATTACGGCACTTATAAGGTGCTAAATACGTGTTTCGGCCTTTTGGGGAATGACCGAACCGAAGGACATTGTGCTACTGGTGAGGCTGAAAGACGGCAGCACGTGTCTAGCACTTTATAAGTGCCGTAGCACCTCATGAATGGCTTAAGATATGCTGTCAGGTCTTGGAAATCATTAATACACCTTTGTCAAGAAGGTACAAGTTTTGTTCACTTATAGTGTGATGAGTTTCTGACATACCGAAAACAGCCTATCCGTTTCCTTTTTCACTGATGTTGGAACTGCTGAGTGTTTCGAAGAGCAAAACGATCGCACAAATTGGTTTTTCTGAATTGAGGTTGAATATGTCTTCTTCATTCCGTATGTGATCCAGTCATTGATCAGCTGTTTGCGGAATACACACCCAGCACCGTCAAAAGTTGATCAAGTGAAATTATCCTTGTGGAGGTGTACTATTTCTTGGTCCTTATGGCTCAAAACATCGCTCCTGAAATTGACGTCGACGTCGAAGATACCCGCATAAGTTCATTCATCAACCTCATGATATCAGCTAAATCATAGAAAAAACTACTATCCTTGGTTTTACGGCCGTCCTATGAACCTTGATATTGCAATAAGTAAATTATTTTGAAGCGCCGTGGCCGAGTGGTTGTGGTACTCGTCGCGGCGCGGGGATGATCCCACCACCGAACACTCTCGAAAAGTCAATATTGGAACGCCTCAAGAAACGACACATCCAGGCTATCTCCGAGATTGCAAGGCGACTCGCTCAACCATTATACTATGACGTTCAAGAAGGAGACGACTAAACGAATGGAATGTTAGATGTACTGGGATCCGCGCAGTGGAAAAAAAAGGCTGAAGACGAATCAATAAGTGTCTAATAAAGTGATTTATTTTTGAAGGGTATTTTATATTTGTGTAATAGTGATAGTAGTATATATTTTAATACTCATTTATGAATTCGTATCTTTAACCCTCCATCATGTATGTGTACTGTTAGTTGAAGCACTTTTTTCCCCGTTTTGAGTGTTTTCTCAAGACCATAGCTCAAATTTCAATATGCCTGGTAATTATTTTTGAGCCACGCATGTCAGTGGTCTATGAAAGAGGGCTGACTTATAGAACCCGATACACGTGCTTCGATTTTGCGATCTCGTCAGTCGGGCAGTTACCCTTTCTCGTCTTTTGCCAATCCCATTCAGTATAATCGTGAATAATCGATGTCTTTTGAGATTTTATCTTACAGGGCGTTACGTGGATTTTTAACGTTAGAAAAAAGTCAGCCGAATTAAGGCCTTATCATATCGACCTCATTCAAATTGGACAGTTCTAAAAGATGTTGGTAATGATATTTTTTAAGATATGAGACCGTCATTGAATATCGAGTTCAATTGAAGGTGGCTTGATGTTCCACCAACTTCCTCATTTCTATTCATACTGAATCCTGTTGTTCCAAATATGCCCAAAAGAACTGAGGGGTGAGCAAAAGTTCGACCTCAGACGAGAGTTGAAACCATGTTCTGCCCATACCGGGAAAGCGAGCTACCACTGCATCACCGAGGCTGGTGGAATGGCATGAGAGCATTGTCGAGCATCTTACTGAGATTTTTAATGGAAGATTTGGTGATTGTTTGTCCAAGGTAATCACAGACTCTTTCCTTTTATCCACTGTTAAGTGCAAGTTTGACTTGGATAACTAAAAGTGACAGAACACTGGACGAAGGACAGCCATGCGAACAAGCAGGGTTCAGAAAAGGATTTAGTACCATGGACCACATCCACACGATCACAAGACTCATTGAAGTTTCGCGAGAGTACAAACAACCACTCTGTCTCACTTTTATCGATCTGAAAAAAGCCTTTGATTCAGTGGAAACAGAAGCGGTTATAGAGGCTCTGGATAACCAGGGCGTCCCTACTCGGTACATAATGATCCTTCGTGAGCTTTATAAAGATTTCACGACCAGAATATCTCCGTTCTACAACAATATCACCATTGACGTAAGAAGAGGGGTTCGACAAGGCGATACATTCCGCCAAAAGTATTCACTGCCACCCTACAAAACGTCATGCGAACATTGGAATGGGACGCTATGGGAGTGTAAATTGACGGTCAATAATTAAACCATTTTCGCTTTGCTGACGATATCGTTCTCATAACACCAAACATCAGCCAAGCGGAACGAATGTTGACTGATTTCGATAACGCCTGTGGAAAGATGGGTCTTCAACTGAATCTAACGAAAACAATGTTCATGAGGAACGGATGGGTTTCTAATGCCCCATTCACGCTCAACGGAACGACAATTTCCGAATGCTCCAGTTACATCTATCTAGGTCGTGAAATCAACATGATGAACGACCTAGCCCCAGAGTTGAGCAGGAGGAAACGAGCGGCTTCGGGAACGTTTAAGAGCATCGAAGATGTAGTGAAGAGGACAAAGAACATCCGACTCCGTGCCCACCTTTTCGACTCGACAATTATCCCTGCCCTAACGTATGCAGGAGAAACCTGGTCGCTACGTAAGCAGGATGAAAGATCACTTGCCGTTATCGAACGCGCAGTCGAAAGGTCGATGCTAGGAGTATCTC